GGTGGGGGGCGCTTATATAGGCAAGAAGGCAAAAGAAAATGCAGCTGTCGGCAGTTTCGGTGAGTTGCATACATTCAAGGAAGCAGTTTTATATCAGGTGGAGGGAATGTACAGATAAGGTTGGATCTCAAGCACCTGGCGACAGGAAGTCGCAGGCATGGGTCTGGAAGCAATTATTTTGAAACGTTTATCAAGATGTAGAAAGAACAGTCTCTGCCTTCCCTAATCACTTATCTTTGTGATTGCGAATGTTACAGAGTGGACGTGACTAGCCCGGCGGAAGGTTTTAGTTAGGAATTCACCATTTATCCTTGGGTACTGGTTAAAGTGGACAGTCTTTCCTTTCTCATTAATGAACACCTATTGTCTGGTCTTTGGGGGGTATACACTGAGGAGAGAGTTGCCTAGTCTGATGTCAGTTTTCTCAGGATCTTCCCATTTGCCGTGCTGAGAGGAGATGGAAGGGGAGGGAGACATGGAATCAGGGAGGTGGGTGAAAAGCCTACTGCACTAAATTGGGCATAAGATGATGGTCACCCAGATGAAGGGTTGGTGACAAGTGGTCAAAACATCCATCGTCTTGAATGTAGAACCAATAGGATTTGATCTTAGACCTGATTTAGGGTGTGCAAAAGAGAACAGAGTCCAGGATGACCTGGAATTTTTTTTTTTTTTTGGCATGAAATATGGACAGTAGAGATCCTTGTCAGAGGACAAGATGTTGGGAATGTCACCGATTCAGTTTTGGATGTGTTGAGCGTGAAATGCCAGTTTGACTTCCAAGTAGAGAAGGCGAGGAGACTGTTGTCCATACAGAGTGTATTGCCTGTGTTCTACAAATGTCATGGCACTAACTAAATTCCTCTCTAGGTGGATAAGGAAACCAACACAGAAGACCTCTTCCCAGAAGTAGCGAGTTATCCGAAGGAGCGGCCGGGCCGCAGGGCCCGCGGTTCGCCTTTCGTCCGCAGCGGCACCATTGTCCGTTCACAGACGTTCTCGCCTGGGGCACGCAGCCAGTATGTTTGCAGAGTAAGTTGGAATTCCTTTGCCGCAAGTTTTCCTTCCCCCTCCTCGTGTTTTATGTTTTATTGTTTATACGAAAAGACCTATGTTCTCACAAATAACACCAGTAAGTAAACAGCATGCTTATGTGATAGGTAGGAAATCGTTGTCGGTTTTACCTCCCCTAACTGGATTTCTTCTGGATTCTAATACATTCCCCCCAGCCCAGATGTCAGGATTATATATGTGCTGATTCATGGGCAAGAAGCAGGGTGATTCATTTTTACATCAGTCTAAGGAATAACAAATCAAAATCGGGGATGCCCCGCCCGAATGGCATTGAGGTTGGCACGTTGGGTTGCTGAGCGGGTAAAAGTCCCAAAGCGCAGCTGTGTCGGAGGTCCCCAGGGAGGACCGCCGCCTCGGACGTGCAGGCACCGAGGCACATGGTTCTGACGCCCCTGCATGTCAAGTTGCTCCCCACGGGCGATAGCAGGACATGCTGGGTGGTTCTTAACTCTAGCTACACCTCATGGTCATGTTGGGAGAGTTCACGAAATGCTGGTGCCTGGGTTCCCCCCATCCCCAGGGTCCGTCACTGGTCATGGTGGGGCCTGGGCATCAGAGCGTTGCGACGGTCCCAGATGAGTCTAACATGCACACAGGGTTGAGATCCCTGAGATGTGTGACGCAGAAGACCCAACCTGCTGTGGTCCTTGAAGACGGGACAGCATGTTGGAGGTCGTCCAGCAGTGACAGTGTCACAGTGACAGCACAGACTAGTAAAGAGAAGGGATTAAAGGGTAGTCTTGACACAGGGGCCCAGAGGGGCCATTGGATCGAGGAGAACTTTGACCCTTCCTGCTCCTCTGAACCGGGCTTGTTAAAAAAAAAAACGCCTTCGCGTGAAGGGGCTGCCAGGGAGCTGGCCCACCAGGGCAGAGCCAAACTTAGAGCAGGCAACATAAACAGACCCTCATACCTGCGCATGGAGCATCGGGGGTGTGGAACAGGGGTCTCCAGGCCCACCCTCAGGTTCAGCAATTTGCTAGGACTCACAAAATTTAAAAAAAGCCATTATATTCACAGTTACGGTTCATTACAGTGAAAGTCAGCAGAAGGAAGAGGCACACAGGGCAGCGTTCAGGAGAGATTCAAGAACTTCTAGTCGGCCTTTCCAGTAGAGGTGTAGGGACAGCTCGTATCTCTCCCAGCAGCGACAGGTGACAGCATGCACGAAGTATTGCACACCAGGGAAGCTCACCCGAGCTTTGGTGTCCAGGGTTTCTGTGGGGTTTGGTTCTGTACGCATACTTGACGGCTTGCGTGGCTGACCTTAGTCTCCAGCCCTCCAGAGGTCAGCTGATGGCCAAGGCTCCCACCGTAAATCACACCGTCAGCAGAGATTACGTGGCCTGACCCAAGGTCCCAGGTAAACAACGACACTTAGGACATTCCAGAGCCTTACAGGTCACCTCCCAGGATCTGAGCAAGGACCAAACCTTTCTTCGGACAAGGTTCGTCCTTTACCTCACAGAGCGAGCAGCAGGAGTTGAGCCCTAGGTGGCCCCAGCTGCCCTTCTGCCATGTTTGCGACACCAGCTGCTCTTCTTTCCCCAGAAGCTAGGTGTCCGGTCACAGCTGCCCCGGGTAGCACGGGGTCCGGCCTGAGCACTCCTGCCCCAACAGGCTTCCGCCCTGCGGGGACTGTTGTGTAATCGAGCATCTGGAGGTACTAGATGAAAGGCCAGCCTCGCATCCCTTCCTTATGCTAGACTTGCTGAACGAACAAGCTGAGCGCAGCGGAGTCACGCCTGCTCACTGGGAAGGAGAGGGCAGGAGAGGAAGTGAGAACTCGCCACCCAGTGAAATATATAATGTCTTGGTTCCCATCAAGAAGGCATTATTTCTTTTTTTCTTTTTAAAAGCAGACCTTTTCCCTTGACTGGCTGAACGGGCGTTAGCGATGTTGGCTTGTCCTATTACCAGGAGCGAGTCTCTTTTCTGGAAAGCCATTTTTCCCCCAGCTCTTGCCAAAGCCGGAAATACAACAGATGAGAATGATGGCAATGAAGGGCACTGAGGACAGTGTTGGCTTCCGTGCTCAGCACGCAGCATATCCACCCGCAGTTGGTATTGGCGGGACAGAAATTTTGTTGACTCGTTTAGCCTGGAAAGTTTCCGTGGTTCCATTGATGGACATAAAGGAGGACTGCGATGGGTGTTGGTCTGCTTATTTGGTTTCTTTTTGTGTGTCTTTCATCGTATTGGAAACTCTTGTGCAGGTTCTGTTTTTACTAAAACCAGAGGTCTTGGTAAAAGCACTAAAAATCATGAGTACATTTGAGTACCTGTGAGGACAAATGAAATAATCCCATTCAGAGTACACAGACAGAAAGAATATTGAATTTCTGAGAAGGTGTTTCTGAACCTCATTCTTTTTCTTGCAGCTTTATCGTAGTGACAGTGACAGTTCAACACTGCCCCGGAAGTCCTCCTTTGTCCGAAATACTTTGGAAAGACGAACACTTCGCTATAAGCAGGTATGTGCCACGTAAACTAACGTGGAATCTGTACTTACCCTGGGACTTATTTTTACAAACCTTAAACGTGGCAATCTTTTAGATAATATTAACTAAAAGGTAATATATTTACTTCCTTGTTTACTTAGATTTAATTTTTAAAAGCATATACAATGTCAGAATATTGCCAACGTTTCTTAATTTCCAAAGACAATGTCATGAGCTAAGATAATTCATGATCTTTACACTTTTAAATATAATAAATTAATAAACAACCAACCATTCTATATCAGAGATTCTTTTTTCTTTTTTGACAGGGGAGTATATGTAGTTTAGAAAATCTGAATTTTTCGACATAGAACATTCTTCTACATGGGACTGTTCTATGGTTTTCATTTCTTTTACCCGCCAAGGTTTTTCCTCCACATCATGCTACTTTACAAAGTTTTGCTGCTTTTAGTTTGTAAGCTAGTGAGCAGTTCCCTATCTTTTGGGGGGAAGTTGTTCTTTTAACAACAACAATGGCATGATAAGAAAATACATAATTCAGTTACAGAAGTCTTTCTCAGCAGCAGCCGTGTTGACATTTTGGACTGGATCATTCTTCGTTGCAGGGCCGGATCCCTGGCCTTGACCCACTAGCTGCCAGTAGCACCCCCTTCTTCCTGTTCTGACAACCAAAAATGTCCCTAGACATTGCCAAGTCTCCCCTGGTTGAGAAGCACTGAGTTCTGCTATGAATTCAGCAGTGCTTTTAAATGAATTTGTACTTACTAAATCATATCATATATTTGCATTAAAATTCTGTATGTGTGCAAAATGACGGTAGTGTGTGTAAAAAGCATAGTTATTTAGTCCACTGAACAACGCTGATGTGTTCATGGATTTAATTCTGCTGCCGAAACTCCCATTCCCAGGGTTGTTTTTCACTGGACAGAAAGTACTGCTCTCAACTCCACATACAAAACTCTTGTCTTAGGACTTTTCTTCAGCACAGCAGATTTGCATACTTGAGGCTTATTGAGGAGGAAAGTCTGCCAGTTTGTGTGTGCATGCATGCATGGGTGTGTATGTGTGATTTTTTAAACAAAAGGCACTCATATGGTTTGTGACATGCTTTCTCCCCTTATACAGTGGATAATTAAGATTTTTCCACATTAATATAGTTTGTCAGCTTTTTACCATGGCAGCATTTTTTGCTGGACTTATCACTTATTTACTCGGTTTCCTCTTGTTATATATTTCGGACTTTTTCTGTCATAAACCTTAATTGGACCACTTGCACGTCATCAGTTGTTCCTTTCAAATGCAAGTCAAAGTAAAATTTCAGAACCAAAGAAAATGCATATTTTTTGCCTTTTGATATATATTGGCAAATAGCACTTCGGAAAGATTATGCCGGTCTTTGATTGCGCCGGCCCCGTATGGGAGGGTCTCTTTCTCCATACTTTTGCAAATTCGTAGGTCATCATTAAAGAAAACAATTTGCCGTCATTAGCTCGATATCAAAGTGGAGATTTAAATTAATTTTGCCCAAATCTGTTATTTTTTCAAACATCGGGCCACGTATAGAGAAATACCTCGCCAATAACTGAGCTTCATCTGTCTTTAATTGTGGAAGAACCTTCTGGAAGGCCCGAGCTTGCTGGCCGCATGGTGCCTGCGTGCCTGGTTCGTGCGTGTGCTCATGGCTGTCGTCTCCTGTAGTCCTGTAGGTCATCCATGGCCGAGCTCATGGCCCGTACCTCCCTGGACCTGGAGCTGGACCTCCAGGCTTCGAGAACCCGGCAGAGGCAGCTGAATGAGGAGATCTGCACCCTTCGCGAGCTGAGGCAGCGGTTAGAGGACGCCCAGCTGCGAGGCCAGACTGACCTCCCGCACTGGGTGCTGCGGGATGAACGATTCCGGAGTCTGCTGAAGGAAGCAGAGAGGCAGGTAAGAGACTCAGGGCCTGGGCACGGTCGCTGCCCTTCGCTCCAGTTCTACTTGGGTTCTGAAGTAAGCCTTTCAGATGATAAAAGTGTCGTTCCAGCAGTCCAGGTGCTCACCTGAAGGAGCCAGGTTTCTCCCTCTGTGGGCCAGGTGGCTGGCGTGCAGGTGGCAGCAACACACATTTGGAGGCCCCCCTGCCTGCACTCCACTCCCGCTTCGTGTTGGGGTGTTCTGGGTCCCATGTCTGTGAGGCATGACTCCAGCGATCCTGAGTACCTCCCGTGAACATTCCCTGGGGGCAAGGGGTGGCGCGGAGTACGCCTTTCTCCCCTCTAGGTCCCCACAGCTGGGGGTGGCTTCGTTCATTCTTCCTTCAAACCAGAAGTATAAACATCTTGTTCATCCAATGTTGCTATTCCAGACCAGACAGACCAAACTTGACTTCCATCAAGAACAGGCAGCTGAGAAGATGCTGAAGAAGGCCTCCAAGGGGGTCTGCCAGCTGCGTGGGCAGAGCCACAAAGAGCCCATCCAAGTGCAGACCTTCAGGTAGGCGGAAACCAACCCAGGCCTCCCTCTCCTGCTTTCTTCTCTCTGTCATGGCGCTGTCATTGTAAAAATTTAAGTCTTCAAAAATGGCCACAAAACAGGAATCCCCACCGCTATTAGCATTTTAATGTTTTCTTCTGGTCTTTGTTTTCTAGACATGTTTTTTTTCCCCCCATGCTACTTGTAATCATAATGTGCGTTCAGGTTTGTATTTGGCTTTTTTTTTTTTTTTTCATTGAAATAGCCCACGTTGCCACAGAACCCGCTACCTTCGTTGGCTGTAATGTCTCATCTAATAGATCTCATGTATCTGAATACTCTATTTTGGAACCTGTTTCTTTCCAAATGTTTACTGTTATAAACAACACAGCGATTGACATGTACATACATCTGTGTATCGCCCTGCCCTTTATAGTCAACTTCTGGTCGAAGCATAATACGCATACGGGAACGTGTGCGTATAGTACGTGTGAGATAGTTCAGTGATCTGTCACAAACTCTACATGGCAGGAATCGAACGTTATCAGCAACCCTCAGACATCCTACACCGCAGGAACCACTGTCTGGAATTTGAATGCCGTAAATTAGTTTGCCCTGTTTTTATTTTTTTATATGAGGAGAATTACACAGTTATATCTATGTTCTTTAGTTTCCGACTTTTTAAAAAATCGAGGTGAAATTCACATAACGTAAAATGAACCATTTTAAAGCGAGCAACTCTGTGGCATTTAGTACAGTCACGGTATTGTGCAGCCACCCTCTCTGTCTAGTTCCAAAACATTTCCATCACCCCAGAAGGAAACCCCGTACCCATTAAGCTCTCACTCCACACTCCCCCACCCCCGGGCCCTGGCAGCCACCAATCTTTCTTTCTCTAGGGCTTTCCCAGTTGAGGATATTTCATATAAATGGAGTCACACAGTATGTTGTCTGTCGTGCTTGGCTTCACCTTGCATACTGTTTTTGAGGTTCATTCACACTGTAGCATTGTCAGAACTTCATTCCTTTTTATGGCTGAATAACGTGCGCCTGACTTCTAGCCTTAATTTTTTTTATGCCCTGAATTTTCACATCCCCATCATAAAAGAACGTAAAACAGTATAACTCTCTTCATTCCATTGATTTAAAATGCTTTCATTTGCATAGTTTTTTATTCACTCACTTATTAGTAAGGCGAATATTTACTGAGCTCCTACTGTGTGCCAGGCACTGTTCTAGGTGCTGGAGACAAACCCTTGCCCCCGTGGGGTTTTGTAAATGCAATTAAAATTGAGAGAATCTATATACAAACGGATTTGTTGCTGGGGATTTAAGTTCAGTTTGTTCTACGAGTAAGAAAAGCTATCATCGATATTGAGAGCCTCCTGCCAGCTTTCACTGTATTTACATCAGCTTCTAACCTGTAATTCTTTCCATTCCCAGGGAGAAGATAGCATTTTTTACCAGACCAAGGATTAACATACCTCCTCTGCCCGCCGACGATGTTTGATGTAGTGCTTTGTACACATGAAGTATTTATCTGCCTGTTTTATTTTCATGAAGTTTTTAGACTAGCTCAATTCGTCTTTAAAATATTTGTGCAAAGCTATTAATATACACATTTTGTAAAAAAAAAAAAAAACCCAAACACATATATCTATACATATATATTTTATAATAGTGACGGCAACAGGGCTTGGTTTTTCCTTGTTGTGAAATTGACATCTCTGAAGACAAGTTATTTTATAAGAGATCAACTATCACATTAAGAGTGTACAGTTTTTACACTGTTTTATTTGACTTAAAGGCTGGAAGACAGAAACGAAGTGAGTTCAGGCAAATTCACTGTATTGTAATTTATTTATAGTACTTTTTTCCTTGAAGGAAAATACTGACTTTAAGATGTATTTTTAAGACTGAAATTTTGTTCTTCAGTATTTGTCACGCAGTAGAATGGAACTTTGGGGCCGGTTTTGTTTCTGACACGGAAATGCAAACACTATGTGCTAAATTCGTCATTCATATCAGTTCCTCATATGTGCCTTTATCATGTATATTGTCCACTTTCACTGTGTTCTGTTAAGACCACCCCCGCCCCCGGCAGTGGCTCAGTCGTAGTTCACACGTATGAACATCAGAGAGCTCAGTCTCCCACGTGGACTGCGCACCGAGCGGCCCTCATTTCTGTGTTGTCACAGCACGCATCATTCTGTGCTCCCCACCAGCCTGAAGCAGGCCACAGAGCCCCCGGCGTTCTGGCTGTGGCCTGCCTGCCCACGCTGGCAGTCTACACTGCCCCTGCACCAGACCTTGGGCAGCCCCGCCTTTCCAGTGCGTGCCATCTGACCATGGCTGACCAGGAAGGTGGGTGCTGGGGCTCCAGTTCTACTGCTCTGTCATGAAGGAAAGTGAAAGGGAACTAGGAACGCGCACTTTCATGAGTCAGTGAATCCGCTGATGGAGACAGCGGTTATGATGTAGACATGACGACCTCTGAAGGCGCCTTTTTTATGGAAGGAAACATATGCGGGTAACTACAGTTACCCAGGGAGTCACTTACAGGAGAGGATTTGATTTATTTGATTTATTTGATTTATTTGATTTATTTGATTTTAATCACAATGCTCCCCCCACCCCCTAATACTGAAGTCTATCCATCTTTCCTAAGAAATCGTAGAAGTAGTTCATGAGGAAAAATTTTTTTATGTAATGAAAATTTTTACCATTATTCTTTTAAAATACCAAATGATATATTTTGCCTAATACATATTTATTATATATGAAATGCACTCTCCTTTATGAGGCCTCAGAGAAGTAAATGAGGTGGTCACACAAAATCAGAAAGAAAACAGAACTTTCTCTTGCTAGATTTTTCTGCTCCTCCCTTGGGAAATGCCCCCTTTAATCAACGTCTCTTGATTCGCATTAGTCTGTAGCCTCCCCCCCCCCCTTCATTTTCCTTCTTTTTTACATTTATTAAAAATGAATTTTGTAAAAGCATTTCATTGACACGCGACCAATCACGGGCAATGGAATTTGTCGGTGGTGGTAAGACTGAAAATTGTGTGCTTTTTCACAATCGTCATCTCTTGCTCTGTATTTCTGCCTCTAGTCTCGTGGTTTTTTGGGTTTCGTTTTGTTTTTTGATTTTTTTTGCCTAATTTCTCTGTGTACATACCCACAACAGAGGTAGAGACACACAAAACATCACTCCTTGCCAGAACCGCCCCGCAGCAGACAGCACTGCCGAGCAGGTGACAGCAATGGCGGGCCCCCTCTATGCCGTAGCCACCTTCCCATTCACTGCCTGCACCTGCCTGCGTGCGTGTGTCTGCTGTGTCGCCTGCCGGAAAGGGCACATGACCAGTGACAGGCTGGGCCCATTAGGCAGGAGGACTCGGAGTACCTGACTGGCTTCTCATTCCTGACTTGGTTTTGCAGCTTCTGGCTAGTTAAGACTGGCATCCCCCGGAAATGTTCCACATGTCAGAAAAGAAGTCCTCTTGTCTTATGGAGTGTTTTCATCTGTTGCAATTTGTCTGTATACCATGCCTTGTGATAAAAGAACATTGCCATGTTTCATCAGTACTTGCGGTCCAGAGACGCCCAAGTCTGCCACCAGGACTCTTTAGAAAGACGGGGAAAAGGGAATTCGATCGTCACTTCATCTGATCGCTGAATCGTCACCGCTGAAATAACTAACCTTCTGTTGTGGGAATAAGTTCTGATTAGTATTCATCTCTGTTTTGGTCACTGTTCTAATTATGTCATTCGCATTGTTTGAAATTATTTCTTCTATAAAATTAAACTAACCTGCCTTAAGAACTGAATGGAAATGTGTGTTTTTTAAAAAAAAAAAAATTAATTACAAAGACAAATATATAAAAATGTATACAATTTTTTCAACATAAAAATAGAGGTATAAAAATAGTAAGATGAACACACACGCAGCCCTCCCCCACTTCAACACGGATTAATCGGACTCGATATTGCTTTGTCTACATCTCCGCCTACCTCCTCTCCTGTGTCTTGAAGCAAATCCCATAACCTCAGTTCAGCTGTAAATATTCCAGTACGCACTGGTAAATGAGAAAAATAAACATGCACAATATTCTTATCATATCTTAATGTTTTATAACTCCTTAATGTCATTAACTATTCAAGGTTTACCTTTCTAATTTTCTCATGTGTCATTTTAAAACTTTAAAAAAAACGAACAGAATCCAAATAGGATCCATTTATTGGGATATTTTAAGGTCATTTTTTTTTTCTTAAACTCTACACCCACTTCTCCCGCCCCTCCACCCCTCGCCTCTGGCAACCACCAATCTGTTTTTTTTGGATAACAGCTTTTTTGATATAGAATTCACCTACCATACAATTCGCCCATTTAAAGTGTATATAACTCAGCGGTTTTTAGTATATTCAGAGTTGTGCAAATATCACTACGATCAATTGGAGAACTTTTTATCACCCCCAAAAGAAACCCCATACCCGTTAACAGTCACCCCTGAATCTCCCCTCCCCCTAGCCCCTGCTTTCTGTCCCTATAGATTTGCCTGTTCTGGACATTTCACATAAATGGCATCGTACGTGTGGCCTTTGGTGTGTGGCTTCTTTCAGCTTTATTCCAGGTTCATCTGTGTCGTAGCATGTATGACAACTTCATTTCTTTTCATTGGAAATAATATTCCATCGTGTGGCTATCCCATATGTAACTTATCCATTTATCAGGTGGATATTTTGGGCTACTACGAATACTGCTATGGTCATTTGTGTGCGAGTTGTGTGGATGTACGTTTTCACTTTTCTTGGGGATATATACCTAGTAGGGCAATTGCTGAGTTGCATGATAACTCTATGTTTAACCTTTTGAGGAACTGCCAGACCGTTTTCCAAAGCAGCTGTGTCATTTTACATTCCCACCAGCAGTGTATGAGGGTTCCAATTTCTCCACATTTTGATCAACATTTGTTATGTCATTTTGCTCATAGTAATCCTAGCAGGTGCAAACTGGTGTCTCATTGTAGTTGTGTCTATTATTAATCTACAGGATCTACGCCCACCCCCTAAACACACATACACAATTTATCATTTGTCGGAGAAAGAAGTTTGCATGTCCTCTGAGTCCCCCCACATTCTGGATGTCTCCCTGTAGTACAGTTTAACATGTTCCTGTAAGTAAATATTGAGAAAAAGCATTGTTGAGTCTAGAAGCTTGATCAGATTCCAGCTCATTATATTCCTGTCTTTTTTGGAGGACATGGGTAACAAGACATTCATATGTTCATCCGGTGGCTTATAATATCTCTTTCATAATGTTCATAAGCATTGATGGCCAGTGCCTAGAGCCATTCATTTCTAAGGGTTGCAAAAATGATATTCAAATCCTATCAATCATCTTTTAACTTACTATTTACTTTGAAATACTTTTGTAAAGAGAAACTTACTCATCTGTTTGGTCACCTAGTGGTATAGTTTGTATGGGAAAACAAGACAAAGGCTTGATTGTTTTCTTTATTGACCAGTTTTAAAAACAACCAATTGTTTCCCTAGCATTGTACAGTGGTGACCAATTTGTTTTTGGGTTTTGAGGGTTTTTTTTTTTTTTTGGAACATCGACACATGGATTTAAATAAGTTTGTTGTGCTTTAGTTCAATGGAGTTGCTATCCTTAATGATGCTCGAAGCCTCCCATCTTTAGCTGGGGGACTTCCGGATGGCTACTGGACCCCTTTGTTATATTCCCAGGAGTCTTATTCCCTTGGCTCTTCTGCATGACCAGATGTTTCTAACCTGGAAATAGTCATTTCTCCTGGGAGACTTGGTTTTTTGGAGATACGGGTACTCGTTGCTACCTGATCATTGTTTTTAGGCCTTTCCAACAGATAGACAATATTTTATTTTTTAAAAGTAGGATTTTAAAAAAGGATGATACAAATAGAATATCACATAATAACTCATTTGCTTTATCCCATATCAGAATAACTCAATATTTTGTGTGTGCGGTTAAGCTGTCATATATATATGCGTCTCACTTTATTTTGGATTTGAAGTTTTATAATTATGTAAAATATCGACATGGTTCCAAAGACAATTCTACAAAACTAGGTCTATTCAGAGGAGTCCAGTGTTTATTCTTGCCCTTCTTTCTCTCTCCTTGCAGGTAACCATTTGAGAAATATTGTTTTCCCTCGCATCGTTTATTTTTCAGAATAAGCAGACCTATAAGTATATATACACATATATGTGCACACGCACAGAAATGTACACATATGTGCGTGTGAACGTACATACACAAACACGTACCCATCTTTGTACTCGCTCCCCTCTGTCAGATGAATGGTAGCACACTGAACACAGTTTCTCCAACTGGCTTTTTTCACTCGAAGATATCTCAAGAGACCACCTAAATCTGGGTGGCTGAAAACAACAGAAAATGATTTTCTCACAGTTCTAGAGGCCAGAAGTCTAGAATCAAGGGGTTTGCAGGGCCATGCTCGCTGTGAAGACTCTAGGGGAGGGCCCTTCCTACCTCTTCGAGCTTCTGGGGCTGCCTGTCATCCCCAGCGTCCCCTGGCTTATGGACTCATCACTCCAATCTCTGCTCCATCTTCACACCACCCTCTCTACTCTTTCTCTCTCTTCCCTCTTTTGTCTCTTATGAGAACACGTGTCATTGGATTTAGGGCCCACCGGTTAATCTGAGATGATCACATCTCCAGATCTTTAATTACCTCTGCAAAGACTTTTTCTCCAAGGTCTCGTTACACATTCCAGATGGGCATACTTTTGCAGGATCATCATTCCACCCACTGCCATCTGCCCTCTGGCTCTCCCAAATTCACATCCATCCCACATGCAAAATACACTCGCCGACCCCGCCCCAGAGCGGTTTGTACAGGTGTTCGCCATTCCTCTTCCTTCGCACGCTGCGTTAATGCTGTATCATACTTTCTTCCACCGTCTCCTGGTGTTTCTAGTCTTCTGCTATTTAATTTAATTAATTAATTAAATAGGAAGATATCTCTTCATATTTTTGCCAGGGATAGACCTGTGGGATAGACCCCTAGAAGTGGGGTGGCTGGCTCAAAGGGTACATGCATGTGAGTTTTGGCTAAGTATCGCAGCCTCTCCCTCCTGGGGGGTGCAGTGTCACCAGCAATGTAATGTGTGGGACGGTTTCCCCACATTGTCACCGGGAGAATGTTGTCACATTAGTGAGGCTTTGCCACTTGCAGAGGTGAGAAATGATATCTCTGTGTTGTCTCAATGTATGCCTTTCTTCTGAGCGAGGCAGCTTTAATTATAGACACTTACTGGTACGTTTTAATATCTGTAAAGGCTGACCCTCCTTCCTTTCTTCCTTTTCGGTGTTTTCTTGGCTATTCTTGCGTATTTGTTCCTCCAAAAGGATTTTATAATCAACGTCTTTAGCTCCAGGAGCCTTAAATTCACAAATTAGGGAGAGCTCCCATCCTTATGATGTTGAGTCCTCATTTAAGAATGTATTCTCATTTGTTCAAGACTCACGCTGCGCCTGTCAGGGATGCTTTAGCTTTCCTCATATATTTTTGATATTTCTTGATAAGGTTTTAGCTATTTTATTTTCTATCTTTATAAGATAAATATAATTACACACAAAGTTCTGTATTATCTTTTTCAGACTCCCGTGAAAAAACTAGTGTTTCCCCATTTAGTGAAATGTTGGCTTTAT